TCTCCCACCTCACGGGTACCTGCCCTCTGCCTCCCTCAGAGCCTGGCTTGTTTGAGGAAGACCTGCCGAGAGAAATCATCCCAGAGAGCTGAGCCATGACCCTGCCCAGGACAGGGGGTGCACGTCAGTAATGGCCATGGGACATTGATGCTTCCACCCTTGGGGAGAGAGGCAGGCTCCTGGGGGGACCTGCTGCTGCTGCAGAGCTGAGAGCCAGACATCATGCCGAGCGCTCAGCACGCGTGTGTGTAACCACACAATGGAAGAGGCAGAGATAGATGGGAAAGCTGACCGGGGGGTCGGTGTAGGGGGTTGAACTGTGTCCCCCCCAAAAGATCATGACCACTTGCACCTGTGAATGTGAACTTGTTTGGAAATAGGGTCTTTGCAGCTATAATAAAGTTAGGATGAGATTGCCCGGAGGTAAGCTGGACCTGGATCCAGTGACTGGTGTCCCCACAGCAGAAGGACATTTGGACACAGAGACACACTGGGGGGAGGCCACGTGACCGCAGAGGCAGAGATTGGGGCGATGCAGCCACAAGCCCAGGACCGCCAAGGACCGCTGGTAGCCACCAGAATCAGGAAGAGGAGAGGAAGGATCCAGAGTGCAGCCTGGCCCACACCTTGGTTTTGGACCTTTTGCCTCCTGAACCGTGACAGAATCTCTGTAGTTTATGTTGGTGGCTGCCACAGGACACTCATGCAGAAAGTGGGGAGTGCTCGCAGGCGGTCAGTAGAGAAGCCCAGAAGGGTTGAAGCGCAGTCTTGCCAGGCTCTTTGCAGAACAGGTGGCCTCTGGATGACCCTCCCTGGAGACCGCAGATGCTGGACCAGCACAGGAGGGAAGGAGCAGTCCTGGCTGGATGTTAGCGGCTGGGCTGCTGAAGGCGGAGGCTGGCCTGGCAGGCCTCCCCGGGTTTCCGTTCAGGGTGGACGGGCCTGTCCAAGGTTGGTGGGCGATATATAAACAGAAGGAACAGTTCTGTGTGATTCCTTCCAACCGGGAAACCGTGGTCGGCACGCGGCACGTATCCAGCCGGCGGCAAGCAGGCGTTTCCAGAGTGGTAGCCGCTGAGTGTGTGCGGCCGGCCACTTCCTGTGGGTCGACCAGCACCCGGCGGACGCACATCAGTAGTTCAACGGGCGACTCTGGGCCTCCGCCAGCAGCACCGCGAACACACAGGCCGGTCAGCCAGCCACATTTGCTTCTATGGCCTTCTGTTACTTTCCAACTGGCACGCCCAATGCATTTTGAGTTTTCTGTAAAATAACTTTCAAGGAAAGCAGCCGAAATCAGTCCAGAGTTCTCCCTGCCATGACTAGTCTCTGGATGCTGCAAGATACTTTCTTGCCCCATCTGGCTGCCGCGTCCTTCTCCCCCACCTGTCCCTTTTCCCTTAACGCAGCCCAAAGGTTCCTTGCGCATTGGGTCTGCAAACCAAGCCAGGCATGAAAACTCGCATCTTCCCATCTTTTCAATGTCCGTTCTCAGCTGGGAGCGAGGCCAGGTGCATAATAGGCACACATATGCTTATAAATGTGCACGCACACGCAGCCTCACACGACTACGCACACCTGCAAGAGTATCCCCGTCCCCCACCGTGAGCGCGCGCACACACATTTTGCAGTGTGATTTTTTCCCCTCTTACGTGATCCTGTAGGTTAGTGACCACACAGACACATTCATTCAATCGGCCAGTGTCTGAGTTCCTAGTACGTACATCACCAGTGCTGCCCCTGAGGTGCGTGCGGTCCTGGGAGATCGTTTTGTGTAGGGTGTCTGTCTATGAACAGCTCGAGTCACTCCAGCCCAGCTTCTGGGCTGTTGGGACTTCACTGGGAGCCAGGCTTCCTCCTGTGCGTCTAAGCCAGGGAAGGCTAGCACACAACAGGGCTGGGTCACCACTGGTCAAGCTCAGTCGGTGGTGACCGCAGGTGGACAACCCCCCTTGTTGTCACAAGTGACCGCCTCAGTGGCCCCTCGGACCCCACCTCCCTCTCTTCCTGATGACATGGGGTGTCTCCCTCACTGGCCTCTGGCCTCTGCATGTGGCCATTCTGCACAGACACATTCCAGAAGGCCTGCCGCCCAGGCCCTGCCTTGCCCCTGTCTCGATACACCACCTGGCAGCCCTGTCCGCAGCCCCCAGCCTCACAAGCCCACCACCTGTCCTGGCTGTGGGGCCTCCCGTCACACTGAGGCCCCGATGTGGATGCTGCGTCATCAGATCTTCACCTGGCTTGCTGCATTCATCAGCCAACAGGACACAGGGCCGGCGGCGAGGCTGGGAAAACTTGCTGAGGACACGGGGGGCGCTGTGTGAGTCCCTAACGTCCTCACCCGGCTCCTCTTAGCTACTGATCGAAAATAGCCCCCCAAATCCAGAGCGACAATTTTATCTGCCCCTTAGAGAGACTACAGTTAAATTCTTGTGATTTAAACTTTAAAAACTCTCCTATGGTGATATTTGAAAAGCAGTGAGCCAGAGCAGAGCCTCTTGTCTAGCACATCAGCCCGACACATTGGCCCTCGTCAGCCCTTCCCGCAGTGGGATCCGCAGCTGCCCGTGGAGCGAGAACGGAGTCGGGCATTTCCTGGGGGGGGGGACGCGGGGGGGCAGCTCCGTGGCCCCCGGCCATGTGGAGCGGTTCCTCCTCTGTACCAGAGGCCACTGGACACCAGTGGCTATTGATTGGAGATTAAGTATTTTGTATGTTTAGTGTTCATTCAAGCATCACGTGGAATTGATTTTCCGATGTGATTTGGTTAAAGATGCCAGCAAGGGACTGTCACGTTGGCTTTGGATGGTACGACGGGAGGAAGCTGCAGAAGGTGCCTGTGGTCAGACACAGGACAGGCACTGTGGAGGCGTCGGGCCCTGGGGTCCCCATCCCAGGTGAGAGTGACAGACTTTCTCCTTTTGTCTCTCCTCACTCTCGAGGTCAGTGCTGGAGGCTGTGCTGGCCTTTTGCTCGGCAGGGGGAGAAACGGGGGGGGGGGCTGCGTCCCAAGGCAGCACCTCTCCAGTGCCTAGCTGGTGTGTGACATTTAGGAGCGAGATGTGTGGGGTCTCTCGGGTCCAATTTTTGACACAGGCATCACTCCTTCAATTGCTAGAAATCTGGGGGGAGAAAAACAATGGAGAACAGCATGTTCTTGTCCTCCTGGGTGAACACAGAGTGACGGAGGCGTGGCTGGTTTGCAGGAAGGCGCGGTCCTGCGGGACCGTGGCATCAGCCGGCTCCATCAAGTTCTGGAAAGCGCAGGGCATTGTGTGTGCCCTTCGATGGGCAGCGCAGCTCCGGACATTTTATCCTTCTCGCTGACTTGGCACTTGGCCACATCTTACCCCCCAGCCTCCAGTGCTGATGCTGTCACTGACCTAGCCCCCGTGTGTGCAGTCTCCCGGGGCAGGGCTGTTCCAGGCTGTGGGTGAGCAGGCTGAGCTGGGTGACAGGGCCCCCGCCTGTGTGACAGAGGCTGGCTGGCGGTAAAGGGAGGGGCCGTGTCCATATGGAGGGTGACTCAGGCTGGGGCTGCGTCACCCCCATGGGCTCAGCTAATGGGGTGTGAATGACCCCAGTACATAAGCATTCTGGAGGCAGAAGGTTGGAGGAAGCATTTTGCGGGAGGCTGATGCTCTCGTGCCAGTTTGTGAGGTCTCCACTGATGGAAACCAGGCTGCCACACAAGGGTGGGGACTGTCACAGAGGTGCTCTCCTTACAGACTCCTTCCTCCGAGCTGTTGATTTCCCTGTTCCAGGACTTGGTATGACCTCAGCCCTGTAATGCAGACCGTGTGTTAGAGTGGGTTTATGTGTGTGTGTGTGTGTGTGTACACGTGTACGTGATTGTGTGTCTGTGTGCATGGACATGTGCACGTGCATACACATGCGTGTGAGTGTGGTTGTGTGTGTCTGTGTGCACAAGCACTGAATTCAGTCATCGCTGTGTGAAGTTCGACAAGGGGCAGAGCGTGGCGAGGTGGGCATTCAGCACAACTCAGCAGGTGGGAGGCACTGGTCAGAGAGCTTTCTCGCTGGGGGAGCAGGTCACAAACCTCGCGTGCGGGGCAGCATGCGGGCCGAAGTGCATCGCCATCTGGACGCCTGCTGAGTTCGGTGTCACCGAAGCTGCCGTTCATACTGAACTGGAATCAAGAAGTGATGGAAAATGTCACATCAGAAAATGAACTATTCAGGGATGGAAGGCAGTGTTCTGGAATTCGCCGAGAGGGAATGAATGCATGGACACTAATCAACACCAGATGAAATGCCCACAGAGCGCAGATTATGCGGCGGCTTTTACAGACTTCTTCAGAGCAGAGCCTCTTCCGTGCGGAGAGGGGGCTGAGGAGGTGTGCATGGCCTGGGAAGCATCGAGGGGTCTGAACACACGCGGGGCGTTGGGGGAGGGTTCGGGTGTGTGCTGCCCCTCAGAGCTTGACTGCCCACCAGCAGGGGTCGGGTCTCCCTTTATGGGCACAGGGCGACCCCGAATGTGTCCCCAATGCTTACCCCAAAACAAAGGCAGGAAGAAGGGACAGCTCCCCTCCCCGGAGACCCTCAAACGTGCTGAGTATGGCGGTTTGAGGTGTTCAATGCCCACCTCCCTGTAAACGGGCACCAGCCTGGTGGTGTGTTCACAACCATGTCTGACCAAGCGGCCTCCGGCCCCATGCCTCCCCACACACAGCCACCAACGTCCCCTCGATGCTCACAAACAGGACACGCTCCGGGCACTGCCTGAGATTTAATTTGAATTTACACGGGATGGAGCATCACATCACACTGGAAAACTGTTCTAAGATACATCTGTGGGAAAAGCACAGTTCCTTGTCTCTGCGGGAGAGCTGGGGGACTCTGGGGACTCTCAGAAGCAGCCCCGGGATACACAGCACTACCAAAGAAAAAGTACAGTACCCGTTTCTGTATAAGAATATATTATTTAAAAGACAGTTTAAAAATAAAAATTCTGTACAGCATCATGAATTCCTTTTTTTTTTTTTTGTATCAGTGAACAAAACAGTTCTTAGAAAACACAGTCTTGGCGGAGTAGGCGCTCAGAGTCAACTTTTCCCTGCACGGTCGTCTCCCATGAGGCTCCGGCTCCGCCAGCCTGGTCCAGAACCGCGGCCCGAGACTGTCCTGCCGTCTTCAGGCTCCGTCTGCTTGGAAAAGGAAGAGGAGAAAGCTTCTGTGGGGACTGAAAATATGCAGATGCTGTCAGACGTCACAGGATGACGTGCAGACAATGCTTAAAAACTGCAACACTGTTGAACACATTTAGGCCAAATAAAACAATCTCGATCCCTCTTCTGAACCATTAAAAAATAGGATGTGCCTGAAAAATGAAACACCAATGTTACAAGCACCTGGGGTGTCCTGGTGTTCTGCTCGTTTAACGGACAAAACAACAATAGTAATGGTATTATTCCCGCTAGTGGAGAGATTCAGGCTCTGAGGCTCAGAGTGGTTGAGACACTTGGGTGGGTCACTCAGCTGGTCCTAAGCTAAGCTGGGCCTGTTGGGTGCCCGCACCTGTCGCTACTCCTCTGCACAAAATCAGACCTCGCGTCCCACGCCCTGCGCCTGGCACACTGTGTAACTGGGAATCTCTTCAGTGATCCTTCAGACCGAAGGTGCTGGTTTGCCTTTCACACGGACCACACGAGCAGCTACTGTCAAGTGCGTGGAAAACGCTCACAGCTGTGTGACCGATACCGCATTTCTGGGAAGCTGTCACAACGTGCTTTTCCTTGTAAGTGGCCCGTAGGCTCGTGACCGATCTTGTGCTATCAGCCAAAGCATGTCCCCCTTCCTTCAGAGCCAAATTCTATGAATTACAGGCAAGGAATCAAAGTCTCACTTACTCCAAAACCATCAGCCATTCGGATTTTCTGCCCTTCCCTCCTTATGTCCTCCCCGCAGCCCCCACAGATCTTCACTGCCGCCCCGTTTTGTCTGAATTACCATATGCGTAGAGACGTCAATTCAGGATGGCGTTATCTTCACTTTTCCTCACATCTCTGCTTCCCTCTCTCTGCGGGTCCGTGTGCCCGGATGTCAGGCTCTCCGTCTTCTGTAAGCAGGACAGAGTAGGGGACAATCAGGTTCCAGGAGCCCGTGAGTCCCTGCTTATCTGCTAAAGAGCTTCCCGTTGAGTGAAATGCTAATGTGTCACGGAGACGGATATCCGCAGCACAGTCTGCGTGCCCGCCACCTTCCCCACTACGGGAGGCCTCCCCGTCTCGGCCACAGTCCCGAGCTTGGACTGCTAGCTCGTCCGGGCTGCAGAGCCCAGTGGACTGGCAGGGGTGAGCACGGAGCCTGTGGGTCTGTCCTTTCTGGGGGTAGGAAAGCATCCTGGGGGTCCGAACGGCCCCCGCTGGGTGGCCAGGCCTGGGACCTTTATAGCAATGGCTCTCGGGGGGCCCAGGAATGCCAAGGTGCTTTAGCAATCTTGCCGGGGGGCCCGCCAGGGACATCTGCTCGGACATCGCTCTCTGTACCATTTGCTTGTAGGCTTTGGAGGCTCAGGGATCCGACTAGCGGAACCGGCTGCGGGTCTGGAACGCCCATCGACCAGTAGGCAGCTCCAGAGTGCCGATGACGTGCCTGGTGTTGTACACACGGCAGTTTGGGGGGATGAGAGCAACACAGCACACCTGGGAGACCACCTGGCGCTCAGCGGGGCATGGGGGTTCCCAGCGGCAAGGCTGGGGGGCACCATAACTGGGGAGCCCTGACTGAAGGAGGGGTGGAGACGGTGTGGGGTGTGTGGCGCGGCCGAGGCCAGGCCCACTCCAGGTGACTGGCTGTCAGGTGGGGGGGGGGGTGTCTGTGTGGTCTCCGGGGGCAGGGGTCCCTGAAGCAGAGATGTACACACACCAAGGCCCTGGCGTGGCCAGACCCGCTCACAGGCTGTGCAGAACGCCTCTACCCTGGCTCTGAGCATGTGAGCTGGACCTTCCCTGGACATAGTACCAGGCCTCACAGCAACCTAGAGCCAGGCCTGGTCTCCCTGACCCTAAGTGGGCCGAGCCACCACGTGTGAGCTCCGGGATGCGGGTGGTGGCTTCTGTCCTGCAGGGAGCAACGTGTCCTACTGCCCTGTCACTGAGCAAGGTCAGCCCCGGGGCCAGGAGGAGGACAGGGACGCACATGGGGCCGGGGTGCTGCTCTGAGGGGGTCTGAAACGTGGAGAGACCCTGGAGCATCCAATTACAGCACAAGGACTGGGGATGACGTGACCCCTCCAAGGGGTGCAGAGCATCAGGGGCAGTTTGGTTTCACAGAGAGTAAAGGTACCCTGGTTTGCCAAGATCTGGATTTCAGGGGAATGGAAATGAGCTCTGGTGCAGAGGGCCCTCCCGCCGAGCACCACAAGGATGACCGCCTTCCCCACGTGGCACCTGTTACCTCTCTCAGGGCGTCATCCATTTGCTTCAGTTCCTCATAACGATCTCTGGATTCCCAGAGGGGCTGGAGCATGATTTCCTCCACCACAGGGAAGAGCTGGGAGAGACAGACAGGTTCACGGTCCATCATTCTCGAAGCGGCGGCAAGCGTCTGGGAAACCGGGGGGCCAAGGGACCACACAGCAAGTGTCCTCGGAGCCCCTGGGCCGCCACTTGCAGCGGGGTCCCCGGTGAACCCCGTCCTGAGGCCATCTGGTCAGCAGCTCCTGGAGACCCACAGGCCCAACACCTGCCACCCACCCATCTCCGGGTCCCACTCTGTTTCTGTCCTCACTTCACATGGCCCTGCCTTCCGCCTGCCTATCCCCAAATGTCTGTTATCCAGACGCCAGCCTCGTCTCTAGTCTCCTGACAGCCCCGTGGCCGGAGGAACCAGACGGTTCTGGTGGCGTGTCCTTGGCCACCCTGTCATCCCTGCCCCGGGGGACCCTGCGCATGCAGATCTCGGCCCTGTAATGCCCCCCATGCCTTCCACGCTTCCCCGTCACAGCCCGGTCCTGCTGCAGGGGGAGGGCAGGGCCCACGTGGCAGTCCTGCACCCCTGCACCCGCTGGCCGTGACAAAGGCCCGGAAGTCTGTGCAAGGAATGTACAGGGAGGCGAGTCCCCAGAGAAGTAGCAACAAATGGGGTTTACGGGAGGACGTGCCGAGGTGGTTCCGGAAGGCTGGCCAGTGCCATGCGGCCGTGGCCAGCTGAATGGGTGCCCTCAGAGGTGGAGGCGTGAAGAAAGGCGAGGACCAGGAGCCGAGGACCGTCCTGTAAGACAGGCATGCCCAGGACGGCGGGGGACTGCGTGCAACGAGGGGGGCAGCCCTCCCTGTGTTGGGGGCATGGGGAGCCATGTAAGGTTCAGGAGAGAGGCAGGGATGGTCTCCTTGCTGAAATCAGCCTGGGGATGGCCCTGTGCCGGGTAGAGTGGGGCAGGTTAGGAGGTTCTTCTGAAGGCAGAGGTGCCCTGGGAGTGGAGAGCCTGGGGCAGCTCCAGGGGGCACGGAGACCAGAAGGCTGGGAGGGGTGAGATGGGGAGGCGAGAGGGTGCGGGCTCCGGGGATGCTGGCGGAGGGGCCTTGGGTCCCACCTCACACCACACAAGGGTGCGCACGTGAACCTGTGCGTGCACACGTGTGTGTCTCTCAATGTGGCATCTTCAGCACGTGGTGACAGTCACTCACCTTGGTCACCGTTTCGAACATCGGGATCAAGACAAACTTGATGAACCCAATTTGGGCTGTGGCTTTGGTCACTTTGTCCCGGTCCATGAAAGGGGCCACGGGAAGGCCCTCGGACTTCTCGCGGTCGCTCTGGGGGATGCAGTGGGCCGCAATGTTAGAAATATCCGTGGATTCCGGGGACTCTGAGGGCACGGGGCACGTTCCTGTGCCTCACCCAACCAGACCGCTCTGCCGTAGGGGTGGAGGTAGCGACAGGGATGGAGCGGTATCTTCTGTGGCCACCGGAGCGTTCAGAGGGTGTGCGGGGCCGGCCGTGAGGACAGGGCGCAGGGACAGGCGCAGCCGGCTCCGAGGCAGAGGTGGCCTGCAGGACCCCAGCCTCCTCCTGGGGCCCACCTCACTGGCCTGCCAGCATCTTCCCCACACTGGGTTCTCTGAGCGTCAGCTGACCTGTGTGGTCTCACCCGCCCCTGGGGGCCCCTCCTGCCTCTGCTGCTTCTCTTTGAGGCCGTTTGCCCGACTCGTCCACCCTACCAGCTGCGCACTGGTCACGGGCGGTGGGTTTCAGGGCTCGCTTTCCCAGGCTGCCCCTGTCTTCCCTGTGTCAGGTTGTACCCGTTCATCTTGGATGTGCACCTGCTGTGAGGGCTTCCTGGAGGCTGGAGAAATCGTCTGTGACCCACTCCACTAGTCCCCCTGGGTACACCCGTCGCCTTTCCAACACGGAGCCCGTAAAGGGGTTAAGCTGAGCGGCTGGGGGGCTGGTGGGTGTGGGACACTTACCTGCATGAAATACTCTTCTAATAGGCAGTCCACCCAAGGTTCCGCAACTTCCATTGGACGGACCTCGTTAGAGATGTCACAGCATTTTATCAAAATCATCTTCAGCTGGAGGAGAGATCTGGGATCAGGCATGGGGCGTAGAGCACGTCCCACTCCTGCTGTCTGGGTCTGGCCTTGCCGCCCCGGGGGATGGAGCGGGCGCTGATGGCCAACGGGGGCTGAGCTGTGCTGCCTGCGTCCATGGCGCTGCGGGCTCACTCTGGGCAGGTGCGCTGGCAGTCCGCGTCTAGACCCCCGGCCCCACCCGGGAGAACGGGGGCCTCACCGCACCCCCACGGGGTCAGAATCTGTTTGGGGGGCTTGAGGAGTAGAAAACTCTGTTAACACAGACTCGCTTTGTAATACAAACTTAAATCGTAAAGTGTAAAAGGATCTTCTGGCTTGTTGAGGACACACAAAAATATAGAAAGAAGTCACCGTTAGCAGGCAGAGGTTAAAGGGGTGATGGTGGGACCCCTGGTAGCCGTGAGCGTATCAGAGGAAGGCCCCTCACAGAAACTCTGGGTGGGGGGCGTTCCCCTGGGCACCGCATGCCCCCGAGCACGAGTGGTACCTGCAGGGCTGCCCGTGACCCCAAGGGCATCCACCGGGCCGAGCTCTGATTGCACCTGCCCCTCCTGCCTGGAGTCAGAAAAATCACACGGCGGCGAAGGCGGTGGGGGCTTCTGCCCGGTGCTCCCAGGCCTGTGTCTCCCCTGTGAGCTGGCGCTCTCTGCCCGGGGCCCCTGCACCTTGTGCTCAAGCCACCACCCTGCAGAAACCTTGCCTCCCCCTGCTGCCCACTGCCTTCCAGGTCCTAATCTGGCCCCTCCTTCCAGCCTTCCTGGCCCCCCCAGCGCCAGATGGTGTCCCCCAGCAAGGCCTTCTGCTGCCACACATGACTGTCCCCAGGGGTCACTGACGTCCCGGGACAAAGCGTGAGCCACCGCTCAGGGTCTGAAGGTGACCCAGCAGGAAGTCCCCCCGGGCACACCAGCGTGGGCTGTGGGCCCTCTGAGTGGGCCCGGGCTGTTTGCACCCAGTCTTGCAGGAGGCGGGTGGGAGCCTGACTCGGCAGAGCACCTCTCCGCTCAGCTCAGCGTCTGGCACAGCCCCAGCTGAACCTCAGGGTGACCTGGCTGCCCTTTTCCCTGTCCCTGGTCACCACCCTTCCTTATCAGTGCCCGGGAGTTGATCCGGGCCTTCCTTGTCTGCTCTGGGAGTTGGCTCCAGAACACAGGCCGTTACAGGGCCTTGCTCGGCAGGCCTCTGAGGGAAGCTGCCCCCACACCGGGCCCAGGGCACAGCCTGGGCACTTCGTACTGGAGGGAGCTGTGCCGGGATCTCAGGCCGCGGCCACATGGAGCACTGCATCCAGCCTCCTGTTGGGGGCCTCGGCTGAGGTCCTAGAATCCATTTTGACCCAGAACCTTTCCACTCTTGGGCCTCTCCTTCTACCTCCTCCAGTCCCCATGTCCATCAAGAAGTGGGTGCTTTTGGGGCTCCTCGGCCAAGGCACGATCCCCTGGTCTGTGCTGCAGGCCACGGACCCTCGCTCTGTGTGGGGGCGGAGGGCCCTCCCTTGCTCGAACAGTTGGAGTGAGGGAGTAAAGGTGTGATGGTCACTCCTCATCGTCCTGACCGCTCGACACCTGGCAGCAAGACTTCTGGCCTCCTGCCCATGAGGGCCTTTCCTTACGTGTCAGAGGGAACATGGAGGCTCCAAAGGGGCTCAGCCTACTCGTTCTTCCTCCTGGCCCTGCTGTGGAGGGCAGGCAGCATCCCCACACCCCGCTGGTGTTTCAGGAGCAAAGCCGTCCCTCCAACGTGACCGCATCTCCCCATGTTCAGCCCCATGAAGGGATGCCTCGGGAGGCTCACAGGGATATTTTCTCCTGCTCTTTACTTATGGAAAATGCTAGGTCCTTCCCTGCACACTTTGTGTGTTAGCTGTAATTCAGGTTTGGGGACGGGATGGACAGAAGGTCAGCCAGATCTCACAGGGCTGTCCTTGTTCATCAGCTTCTAGGGATGGAAAGGGACCATCAGTTTTAAAAGAGAGAGAATGCCAGAAAGGCCTCCCACCCAGACCAGGCTCAGCATCACCCCTTCCCTGAAGACTGGGAAGGACATTTCCATGTGTTTTTCTCCTAAAAGGGCAGGCATGGTGCAGACCCAGGTGGGCTCTCCTCACTGGAGAGATCTGCTCCCCTTCTCTGGATGCCCGGCCCCTGCTCATGGAGGGGTGAGCCGGGAAGGGGCCCTGCAGGTCCGACTTGCCCGCCCAGAAACTGGTACGCAGGGTGTTTTCTGGGGCCATGCCTTCACGGGAAGACCAGCTTTGTTCTCAGGAAACCAGAGCAAGATGGACTGCCTTCACCCACTCACCACCTTCAAGTCAGAACGAGATGCAGGAATCAGAAAAGCCGCCTCTACCCGGGACATGGGCTCGCTGAGGGCTTTTCAGGTAAGTGCTGTGATTGTGTGCCCACTTTAATCATGCCTTGCTCCAAGGCCGGGCAAGGGTTGGGGTTTCTCGGTTTCCAGTCTGGGCTGGAGGGTGGGACACATGCACCAGCCTCCGAACGAGCTAAAACAAGCTACTTACAAGGGTCATGTGCTCCTCATTGCTGTAGTCAAAATTCTCCATTGTTTCTTTGAAAGAATCCATAATTTCTGCATGTCTTGCCATGTCAGTGGCTAAAATTAATGTGATCATCCCCTGAAAAGTGAAAGCAAAATGTTAACCCCGGGTACCGTCCCAGCATCACTCCGTGAGCCCCGACTGCATGCCGAGCCCTCCGCGCAGTGTCCCACTTGGTCCTCGTGCCAACTCGATGTGTGTCTCTGAAAATCAGTGTCCTCATTTTCAAGATGAAGAAGCAGAGCCTTGAGGAGGTTGGGGAGCCTCCCAGGCCGCGGCTGGCGGGTGGAGGCTGGGGATTCAAACCCACGCGTGCATTGCAGGCGAGCCCTGAATGCCGAGTCCAGGAGGAGGCAGACCCCCAGGCCCGCCAGGCTCATTTGCTTGCAGGTGGCAGGCTCAGCACCATGCTTCCCTGTGACGGCTCGTCTCAGCCAAGGACAAATGCTTCCCCTCAATCCAGGAGTCCGGGTATATAGCTATTCCTTTCACATCACATCGCTGGAGGTCACTAACCGATTTTCCAGGAGACTTTTCCCTGTTATCTAATCTGTGCCTTTAGTGCTTGGGAGCGATCAAAGTCAGGTTATATTTGACAGCACCGTTCTGCTAACACATTTGTAAATGAGGATGCAATGATTAAAAAAAAAAAAATTTTTTTTTTTTAAGTAGGCTCCACGCTCAGTGTGGAGCCCAGCGTGGGGCTTGAACTCATGACCCCGAGATCAAGACCTGAGCTGAGATCAAGAGTCGGACGCTCAACCGACTGAGCCACCCAGATGCCCCAAGAATGCAGTGATTTTTAAAATAGAAATATTTTATTACCTTGTTAACCAAATACTGGTTTAGTAGAAGTAACATGATTCGAAGCCATGACCGTCCGTGCACCCTGAAAACATGTATAAGGACACAGCTCTGTGCTGCACAGAGTGCTGTGCTTTCCCCAAAACACAAGACTACAGCATCCGGGATGGAACCGAAATCAGTGGAGACGGGTCATCTCAGATGTATTTTGGGGGAGGGGAACATCCCTGGCATTTTGAATTCTGTGATTTCTCTTAAAGATTTCATTGTGTTACTAGTGAAGGGGCCACTCCTGTGAGGATTCATCCCTAACATACTCAATGACAAAATATTATTAAAAATTGGGACAACTAGGGCGCCTGGGTGGCTCAGTCAGTGAAGTGTCTGCCTTCGGCGCAGGTCGTGATCTCGGGGTCCTGGGATCGAGCCCCACGTCGGGCCCCACGCTCGGTGCGGAGTCTGCTTCTCCCTCTCCCTCTGCTCCTCCCCCGGCTCACGGTTTCTCTCTCCAAATAAGTAAATAAAATCTTTAAAAAAAAAATTGGGACAACTGCTTTTATGCCCAGAAAGTTTCATTTTCACGTTAGTCATGTGTTTGGGGCAGGACAAGCCTCCTGTGTCCCCCTGGTGGGAGGGTCCTGCTCTGACCACTCCCGGGGGGCGGGCGCGGGTGGGTCACGCACGAGGGGGACCGGCTGCTGTGGTCCCTGCAGGAGCTCCTCACCGGGCCGCCGTCGGGGCCTCTCCATGACCTGCCCCTTTCCCACTTGAGAAAGATGCGCCTTGGCTCATCCTGGCCAGGCGCTCCAGAGCAGGGGAGAGAGTGGGAAAGCCCACAGATAAAGGGGACACAGCTGTGCTGGGAATCAGTGACTTGCCGGTGACAGACCTTCGGCACCGCCCAGAGCTCTGAGCTTCCTGGAAGCGTGGCCGATGGGTGACAACAGTTTACGGGGCTGCTCTCTGACAGAGTGAAGCTTATCAGACCTCCGGGAGGGAGAGCCCGGATCCCCGTGTCTTTATCAGGTGCACCTTGAAGCCAGGCCCCGAGGCATCGAGTGGGTGAGGTTGTCATCCGTGGGACGGCAGAGCGTGGCTCCTCCACACAAACGTGGCTCCCGGCTCGTGGCACCACTAGCTGGGTGACAGGGACCAGCAGAAAGGCCCCCTCTCACAGTCCGGAGGCCAGAAGTCCCAAGGCTCTGGGAAAACGTCCTTCCCGACTTTTCCTGCTCCTGGTGGCCCCAGGCGCTCCCTGACTTGGGTCCATGTCACTCCAGCCTCTGCCTCCGCTTTATGCGGCTTTTTCTTCCATGTATGTCTCCCCTTCTGTCTCTTCTGAGGACACTTGTCATTGGATTTAGGGCCCACCTGGGTAATCCAAGCTACTCTCCAGAGATCTAACTTAACTACCAGCAAGACTCTTCCCAAGTCGAGTCACATTCACAGGTTCCGGGGGTCAGGAAGGGAACATACAATTTCTTTGGCAAAGGGGGTCCATTCAACCCACATACTCCTCTAAGAGGTCCTTCCGGTCTCTTCCCTCCCCTGGAAACATCAGAGGGGGTGCACGGAGCTGTGCTCAGCGGGGACCCCCTGCGTGGAAGGGGGTGTTACTTGCAGCGAGTGGGAAGCTGTGGGTCTCAGGACGGGAGGGCGCTGTCCCCTCCTCCCCAGCGTCCCTTATCTGAAGTGGGTGGTGGGGCTGACTAAGTTGAGGTGGGGGTTCGGGAAGCAGTCGGGTTTCTGCCAGGTTGGATGCAGCAGGTGGGTCTGTCCAGGGCCTGCACGAACTCACTGTGGACCTCTGATGAGTGACCCAACCTCTGGAACCCTCACTCTCCCAGGCTGCAGGCTGGAGAAAGGACAAATCTCAAAGGATTCGGTCAAATGAGGGATGTGAAATGCAGGTCGGTGGGGTCCCCTGTATCCATGCTGAGGGCTCGTGTCTCCCTTGGGTGCACTGGCCTTGGTGGGGGAAGGGTGGGGCCGGGAGCGCGTGGGGGCCTCAGCCACTGGAGCAAGGGGGTTCCACCGGTGAGCACAAGGGGGTTGTGCTCACCGTCCCCCACTCTGCAGTCGGAGGGCCCTTGCCCCTGCATACCTGTCTGATCTGCTTGAACTCGTCCAGCTGCACATTGGCAAAGATGTTGCACTCGGGCTGGGCGAGAATCTGAAAGGCCACGGCGCAGTGGTGGTTCTCCAGGGGCGAGATGTCGTTGTACCGGACGGCCAGCTCCGTGCGGGCGTTGATCTGGTACCTGGCATCGAAGGAGAGAGTACACGGAGCCTCAGGCTCCCGCGGGGACGCAGCGGTGCCAGCAGAGGCCAGGAGGCGAGCCGTGGCCCTCTGCGGTACCAGGGACGCACTCCTCCGGGCTCTCCTGACTCTCTGCTGCCCCTTTCGCTCGATGTCCTCAAGGTCTTTCCTGTAACCCTACCAGGTAGACGCCACCAAGACCCCTCCTCTGCACCCAGTGACAGTGCCCGGAGGCGATCAGGACTTCCATGTTGGCCCCTCGACACGTCATTGGTATGCACAGAGGGCAGGCGTCTGGGGGGACACCAGGGTGTGTTTTCATGTTACAGCTGTGGCTTCGACCCCTTTGCTGGACTGTACCTCGCACATGATCTTGAGTGTGAAAGCAGGGGGTGGATGCTCACAGTGCCCGCCTCCTTGGAGGAGCCCGGGCGTCCCCACCATGGAGGCCTGCCGTCAAACGTGATGGTGAGTTCTCGGCCACGTCAGACCACACGAATACACCTGCTAGGACAGGTGCATCACCAGGGATGCAAACCAGTGCCACACGGCCGGGACCCAGCAGTTATGCAGGGTGGACTCTGTGCCCTTGTCCCCCCAGAAGTGGGACTGAATCACTGTTCCTGTGAAGCCTGGCCCCCACGGCCCGCTGTGGACCCCTCCCACCCGCTGCCCATCTGCACTCCCTCTCTGTCTCGGTCCTGCTGGAAACAGGCTGGGGAGAGGGATCCGGAGAACGGGGCATCATAGGCGGCCATCACGCCCTGCTTCAGGTGGAGGGGAAGACTGGCATCACCAGGACTGCAAAGGAGTGTGGCAGCCCCTCGGGGCTCGGCAAGCCGGAAGCTTCTGCCCCGGGTGGCCCGAGGCCCTGGACCAAGTCCCAGAGTGGGAGCTGTGTCCTACGGAGGTGAGCTGGGGGCCGGTGAGGCCTTCGCCGATAGCTCCAACTTGGAACTAGTCTGCGTGTTAAACTGAAAAGGTCACTCTGATAACCAGAGAGCCCTTTAAAAGGAAAAAGAAAAATCATGTACATACGTGTTGTTGTACCCCGGATGATCCAAATCATGGCAGATGGCTGCCGTCATTAGAATCAAGATATCCATTTGGGAAAATTTCTCCTGGATCAGAGAGAGGGTGGGAGGGGGTGAGGAGGGGGCTGGAATGGGGTGGGAGAGGAGTAACATGGGTAGGATGAAGCCCCTCAGCAGCTGGCCAGGAGGGCGGGGGACACGGTGGGCTGGGGTGGCTTCCCTGGGAGGGTAGGGGGCCTGTACCCCGGGTGGGGGCTGCGTCCCGAGCGAGGTACTGCCACCCCCAGCAGGAGCCCCCCCGAGACCCACCTGGAGCCTGCAGACCCAGATCATGCTGTACATCATCTGGGTCACGCAGAAGCAGTGCCGAAAGTTGTGGAAAGGGTTGTTCCTGTAGTTGTCGTGCACGCAGAGCTGCGAGAGACGGAGGGTCCCAGCTGCCCACGTCTGCTGCCCACCCTCCCCTCCAGGCTACCCCGGGCAGCTCCTTCCCATTTTGCCAGCTGACTGCCAGTGTTTCAGATGCACTCTGCATCACCCTTGGCTGACCCAGAGGCCAGCTGCCTTCCTGGGCTTGCTGGAGGTACGGGCGAGGCGGCCCAGGGGGCCTGAGGACGTTCCACTGGCCACTCTGTGGCCGGAGGGCAGGTGGGCAGTAGGCTTTAACCTGGGCTCATGGACTGAGGTGTCCCCGGAGGGGCTCTGAGGAGCCACGCGGGGACGTGAAGCTGCAGGGAGGGCTGGGGGGCTATCGGAGTGGCTCTGGGTCCCGGTCCTCATCACACCTTTTCATATTTTAATATTTAACATCTATGCTTTTCACACTTAGTTCTGAACAACATTTTGTTTAAAGTAATTGCTGAACACACACTCACATACTCATACACGTACCCCCTCCACACGTGCACATTCACGCCCACCCGCACGCATTCACACACTCCCACCTCCACACACTAACATTCATGCACACACGCACACAGCACTCAGGCCGACACCCCCCATAAACGTGCACGCACCTGCACACTCACTTCACTGCCCCCTCCTTGGTTCTTCCTATTTTCTCGAGCACCAGAGCAGGAGCTTAGGGGTGCTGAGTGTTTTGGTGGGAGACGGACAGAGACAGGCTGCACGTCCTCACGGAACACTCATGGGAACGTCACCTCCGTCTGTAGGACGCCACCAGGAAGGGGCCCGGCTGGTCTGTTCGCTAGTAACTGGATGACACGGTGTTCGAGGGGGACGGGGGGGCCTGCACTTACCAGCCATCTCCTGAGTGTGATGGGGTTGATGGAGAAATCTCTGACCAGGCCCAGGTCATGGTACATGTGCTCTAAGCAACTCAGCATCTGCAGACACAGGAACAGAAGGGTGGTCGGTGGCGGGGCTGGCCAGCCCAGCCGCCTGACGGAGCTGCCCCTTCCTCATCCCGGGAGATGCCTGCAGGGCCCACCGGTCCCTAGAGGGTGAGCCCTCTGCTCCCGGGGGCCCTGATGGCAAAGCCATGTTGACTGGGGCGGGGGGTCTCGGGATTCCTAGCAGGGATGTGGAGGCTTGAAAGAGCAGCTGGGCTGAGAAGTTAAGGGAGTTCCATGCGAAAAGGGACCGACTGGGTGAGAGGGGGCACCCCCAAACGACCACGTCCGAAGTGACTCTGAACTTGGACACACAAGAAGCCAGGCTGAGGTGCTGGGGACACGGTTCCATGGGACGCGCGCCCGAGAGCTGGTGCCTTTGCAGACACAGACGCCCTGTGCTCGCTGAGACTCAATGGCCTGCGTCCCCAGCACGCTTCGTGCACCCTTGTGCGGCCCGCGGGGACCAGACACATTGTAAGGCGCTCGTTGTGGGGTCTGGAAGGTAAGCCGCATTCCCGTCACTGAGCTGTCTCCTACGGGAATCTCGCTCAGGTTAAAACAGCTTTTGTTTTCAGTCCCGAAGATGACTGATTGTCATTGTTGTGATCTATTTAAATACAGCTCAGAGCTCTGGAGCTAATTAAGCCTGGGAAGAAAGACTGATTATTAAAACGTGAGAGTCTGAGAACGCAGGCTCTGCTTTCTGGGAAGCAGGTCTTGCATGCAGCGCCCAGGGAGACGGGAGATCCAGGAGGCGGGGACCGTTAGGCATCACCTGGTGGCATGGGGTGTGACACTTGTGGAGTGCCCACTCACCTGTGCACAAGCCTTGCCCAGCCCAGGTCCTAAGCCCAGACCCTGGTCCTGACACTTGTCTTCAAGGACCTGACCCCCGTTTCTCCTGGCCATGCTGCCTCCTGCCTCGTCCCATCTGCCAGCTACCCGGGGCCCGAGCGGTCACGCTTCCGGGCTGCCTCTGGTCACCGTGTGACCTTCTCTTCCCAAAAAGGTGTGTTATGGACTGAACTGTGGCCCCCAAATCAGTGTGTTGAAGCTCTAACCCCCGACATGACTGTGTGGACAGAGGGCCTTTGAACACTCATTAAGGTTAAATGAGGTCACCGGGGTGGCCCTCGTCCGCTAGCACTGGTGTCCCCATGAGGAGAGGAGACCAGAACTGACATGCACACAGGGACGACCACGTGAGGACCCGGAAGGCGGTGTCTACACGCCAGGGAGAGGGGCCTGGGAGACAGCCGCCCTGCCGACGCCTGATCTCGGACCTCCAGGTGTGAGCGGACGCCTTCTTGGCCTGCAGCGCATGTTACGGCTGCCCGAGCTGACAGCTACAGGGCACGCCACCGGAGACCCTTCTTCCTCGTGACACGGCACTGGGAGAGCTTGGAACACGGGGAGCATGGGCTCTGCACGTCCAGCCCTGTGCCTGGAGCGTCCACAAGACGGCTGTGGAAGGAAGGCCACGGAGCCAAGACCCGTGGCATCGCCAAGAATTCAGTGGGCATGTGGGAATCTGCAGTGTCACAGATGGACTGTCCTCCTCGAGGGGACGGGACGGACGCAGACTGCATTATGTGCAGGGTGCCAGGCTCTGGGGACGAGTCCAGGGCCCTGGCGTGCGGCTTCGGGTGCTGGCGCCCACCGTCCTGGATGCCGGCGCTGGGGCCAGAGGCCTGCAGCCCCCTCCGCTCCCCTCCGCACGCACGCGCCGCTCCAGCAATCCCCGTGAGCCGTGACGGTGGTGGTGAGATCGGGAGTCCACAGCTGGAGCTGATGGGCAGACGAGACCATCTGGCCCCACTTCTGTGACGTGTGCGGCAGCTCTGGAGTGGGAGGGACGCGTCGTGCATCCGTTCCCACGCTGGCAGCCCCGGATGCTGGGTGGTCCGGGCCGGGTGGCCACGTGGAAGTGGCTGCAGGCGCTCGCCAGAGAGCCGGGGCCCCATGGCCCGTAAGCCCCGCGCTCCAGGGAGGTGGCCATGCTGGGAAGAGCTCTGACACGTCAGCTAGCAGGGAACAAGAACACGTGAAGCCATTGCCTCCGTCTGCTCTCTGAGCTGGAGGACCCTGCTGGGGCTGGGGGTGCTGGGCACAGAGATACCCACGCGAAGGAAGAGGCGTGATCCCCCAGTGGGGGCCCCGACATTCCAGGGCATGAGCTGCTTCGTGGGCGGCCAGATGCAGTTTTGGGGGGCCTTCAGCGCTCACAGTCCCAAATCCACAGCACCCCCAGATTGGCCAGAGGCTAGGGCTCCTGTCTTTGGGCATCTCTGGTTCCTGGCTGCATGTTGGCAGAACGTCTCTGGAAACCCTGGAACCGCTGAGCAGTCTGCCCCGGCCACTGAGATGCGCTGGGGGAAGCGCACCCGGAGGCTGGGCCCACCTGCAGGCTTCACCCCGGCCCTGATGCCGTGGGCAGGCGGCCTTCCTCTCCTGGGTGCGTGAATCCTTCAGCCTCTCCGGCCCCAGCGGGATTCCATGGGAGATGGAGACAGAGCGGGCAGCCAGTGCCCATTTCCAGGCAGGCGCTTTGCCATCGGGGACCTGGCTCTGCTCTCACTGCCGGTGTGCGGAAGCCGGAGTCATTTCCAGAAGCGGTGTCTGCCCACCCGCCAGAAGCAGGAATCTGTGTGTGCCGAGCCATCTCGGTGTGCCCACTCACCTGTGCACAAGCCTTGCCCAGCCCAGGTCCTAAGCCCAGACCCTGGTCCTGACACTTGTCTTCAAGGACCTGACCCCCGTTTC